GGACAGTGGCTCCCAGCCGGGCCGCAGACACCGCCGCTTCCAGCGCGCAGAGCCCGCGCTGGCCTCTCGGCCGGGCTGCTGCGGTGCCTTCCCCGAGCTTCGCTTTCGTTTCTCCGTTCCTAACTGGCTTTCCCCAGATCCGAGGCCTGTTCGATGCGGCGTACCCTGCCAGGAGCCACAAGGCAGCCCGAAATGAAATTCTTCTCCCTAACCATACTTCTGACCCGTGGGTCTAGGTAAGCCAGAGCAGAGCCCGCGCTGGCCTCTCGGCCGGGCTGCTGCGGTGCCTTCCCCGAGCTTCGCTTTCGTTTCTCCGTTCCTAACTGGCTTTCCCCAGATCCGAGGCCTGTTCGATGCGGCGTACCCTGCCAGGAGCCACAAGGCAGCCCGAAATGAAATTCTTCTCCCTAACCATACTTCTGACCCGTGGGTCTAGGTAAGCCAGAAGAAAGCCGGACTCCTGGGGAGGTCCTGCCAGCTTGACTCCTCTCTTTCCAATTTCGGACGCAATGGCCTGGACCAGCCCGAAGAAGATCTGAGAAGCCCAGCATCACAGACTTGCTTTCCCTCGAGCTGCAGGGCTGCACAGCAGATACAAAAGCTAAAGACCCAGGCTCGGTTTTACAGTTGATCCCCGGATCTTTTGGGCGGCCGGCTGGGAGCCTGCAACACGGCTCTCCCTCTCTTCTTTTGCATAAATGATGCTCCCCAACCTGCTCCCAGCTCGGTTTTTCCTCCGAAATGTATTGTTCCCCTTGTGCAAAACTGATTTTAATACTGCACTGGCTGGGAGAGATTGGAATACTATTTTTAATTTAAAAAAACAAACCCAAAGGGAATGATAACTGTTGCTCTTTCTTGCATTTTTTCTTCTGATTTTAAAGAAAGTCACATTGAACCCAACTATATTGGTATCCTGTCAAAAGAGAATACACTCAAAAATACACTCCTGCCCACCTCTCTCCCAAGATGCCCCTGTCCCTCCTGTCCCTGCCTCGAGAGTCTCCACGGAGGCCAGAAAGGAGAGAGACGTGCAGGCTGCTCTGGGAAAATTAATAAGAATAACAACAACAATAGAAATGATGACAAAACTAAACTTTGACCAACTTATAGTGCAGAAGAAACGGGTCAGGCTGAGGGTGGGAAATTTCCTCTTTTCTCAGGAGGTCACTTTCCCCCTCTCCTAGTGAAATCTGGCTCTGTTATATTTTTTCCAGGACCACAAGTGTCCCCTTCCCCTCCCCACGCTTTTATTCAGCTCCTCGTTTTCTCCCTTTGACCTGAAGTCTGTGGGTGTGGGAAGAGCACCGGCCGAGGTTATCCTCATCCTCGTCATGGTCTCCGTCATTGTCAATATTATTATTCAATATGCAATGTCCCCCACTAGTATTTCCACCAAAAACAAAAATATTACTGTGGCTCCCCACATATGCATGTGTTTAGGAACTATTCTATTCTGCTCCAGTCACCAAGCTGGGCGGAAGGGATTTTGTTTTGTTTTTGTTTTGTTTCCTGCTAAGCATAATGAGAAATGGTAGCAAGAGCTCCTTGCAGAGGGGACAGAAGTGTGTGCTGGCGATGTGTGCTGTGCATTCTTCCAAAGAGCTGAGAAGGTGACAGTGAGCGGCCAATGGGACCGCTGTTCTCAACCCCCCAATGTGGGAAGTCACCGGCAGGCAGAGGTGATGTGTCTGCCGGACTGAGCCTAAGAACCCAGCCAAATCCGCAGCCCAGACCCCGCGGAAGGTCCTCTGGGCACGGTCACTGTGTCCACATCATCAGCAGCCCCAAAAGGTGTGGAGAAAACGGCCTGAATTCCGAGGCTGTGACTGTAGGGGAGAGACCTAGGCTAGCACCGCCAGGTCTCCGGTGCAGGCGGGGGGCCTGTCTGGATACCCCGCCACTGCCACCGCCATTGAAGGGTGAGATGAAAATTTGGGAGCCCACTGTTCTCCGGGGCTCTGGAAAGACAAATTTTCTTTGGCAAACGGAACAGTGTCGCGCTGTCGACACGGCAGACTATTTTTCTTATTCCCTCCCAGGGTGGGGTGGGGGGAGAGAAAAGAAAGCAAGAAAGAAAGGGAAATTAAATCCACACGTGTTAAGCTTGCTCAAAGGGCTGGATTCAAGACCAGGGATGAAACTCCAACTCCAACGCTGGCTGCCTAAGGGCCTCTTTCCAGCCAGCCCGGCCCAGAGCAAGGGGTCCCCACCAGACAGAATTCGATCCCTGGTTTCATAAAGCATTGCACTTAAAGTCCCAAATCCAGGCTCAGAGGTCCCAAACTCACACGGGCAAAGAAAACAAAGGAGATCGCAACTATGGAATAACCACCCTGCTTTATGAAGGCTCGGCTTGATGCCGCCTCCCAATTCCACCCAAGGATTCAGGCAAAATTCACCCCGTGGCCAAAATGAGCCAGGCTTGTGATTTTGGAAGTTCCTGAGGTCTGATTAGGCTTTCTGACTTGAGCTGGCCTGGGTTAAGAGAATCTAAAACTCTGTTAAATTGATGCTGGAATAGCCAGCTGAGTCTGAGAAGCTAATCCTTGGAGTCCTTGCACCTCTTTTACCCCAGAAAAATTTGTGGGATAGGAGGCTGCAGGTCCCACTGCAGGAGGAGCTCCTGGGAGCTGTGGAGGAGGTGAAAGCGGCCAACACCCCCCCAGTCGTGAGTGAAAACTCTAGTAATTACCTTGGGGAGGTGAAGGGAGGTGGGTGGGGGTGCAGGTGACGAGGGAAGCCAAACCCCAAAATGGAAGGATCCGTCATCTAAGTGATTGCTTGGTCGAGACCTCTAATTTTTCTTCCCTATCAGCCCAGGGCTGCCAGCGCCCCAGCAGGTCCCCTCTGGCCTCCTGATCCTGGCTTTCTGGCCTTTAGAACTACGATGGCAAGGTCTGGATGTGGAGACCGAGAGGCCTCACTCCAGCATCCAAATCACACTGAAACACCAGGGGTGAAACAGCAGGCTCACAGGCCGTCCTTCAAGTTCTGGGAAGGTTGTTTCTGCAGGGGCCTGGGTTTCCTGGTCACCATGGCAACCCTAGAGTCCTGGCCACCCTGCCCAACAATGGGGCTCAGAAAGAATCGGGGATTTTGCTCATGTCCTGGGGTCTGAAAGTGCTTGCAGGGTCACTCCTGACTTTCTCAATCCTCCTCAGTGGGTACAACAGAACAGAAGTAAAAAACTCTCCTTTCTGACAAGAGAAAATTGAGGTACAAGTCCAGGTCAAATAGGATCTTGAGCAAAAGCCCCCGGAGTTCCGAGCAATGACCTAGGAAAGGCACATGGGTGACCCCAGTGGAAAACTGCTGTCACTGGAGTGCCTGAGTCTCCTTCCTTCTCCCCCACGCTCACTGTACCTGGCTCCCCACATCTGCCCAAGCCACCCTTTTCCTGGCCGGGAGTAACTTCTAAATGGAAGGGGTGGTGTTAATATCTGCACAATCACATGGGGGGAAAGTGCATTGCACCTTCTTTCCTTTTAGAGGAAAAACATTTCTATTATGGCTATACTAGCAATAGCACTTGTGTCACGGTGCCTCTTGAATCTGCAGAGAGGGGAGGAGAAAGCGGCCTTCTTTCTTTTAGGGGGTGATAAAGGCTGAATGTCCTGTCCGTTTTGGAGGCAAGAAAGTCGGAGGAGAGAAAACCAAGGCTCTGCCTGGCCCCAGTGAGGAACAGCTAAGGCCAGGAGAAGGGGTCTGGCTGGGACTGGGAAGTAGCCAGAAAGTTAAAAATATCCTCTCTTCCCCAATTCCCTATGGGTGGGGCATCCAGGGGCCCCCAAAGCTCTTGGCCAGCCCCAAGGGTGCTCAGACCCCCTGGTTTCCCTCCTGGGTGTCTGGTGGGAGCTT